GGAAGTATCACCCCTAGCCATTGAAAATGAGCCGGTGCACCCCTTTTGTGGAACTGCAATGTGGATAAGAACTATACCAAGAGACTAACACTAAAACACAGTAATTTATGTGTACCCAATGACAGTAACCAAACCAGAAACTACTTTCCTCCATTGTGGCATTAGCAAAATCTTTGCTATATCTTTAATCTTTTGTCCATATACTATGGGGAAATGCAATGAGGCTTTCTAGGATATTGTATTTCTACTACTGAAAGAGTCCTTAAAACAAAAAATGATTGCTTTCAGACACAGAAGTTTCAATATTAAGCCTGTAGTTCTGAATTTGAATTGTAATGTTGGTGACTGTAGGTGAATACATGAACACACACACTATGAATACATATTTCCTAGCTCTGTCCACTGGGAAGGCCTAAATAAACCAATTCCAATGAGTATCTCTGGGATATTCAGTTTGTTCTGTGAATGCTCTGTTTGACATAAAGACATCAGAGTCTTATAGAAAGGACTGAGTCCAGGTCAGGGGCAGTAAATATTTAAGATGAAACAGAAACAGCTTGTCCCAGTGACATCATGAAAGGTCTCAAAGACTATTAGAATCTTAGCAAAGGGACGCAGGGGTCAGGGTAAGTTCACCTTCACTGCTGAAAGAGTGGACAGTTGGACTATCAGGAAGGACTCTATAGCAATGCATTGAAAGACTTCAGTGTGATTGAAACCTTGATTTCATATGAGCACAGGAAAACAAAGAAAGAAAAAGCAAAGAAACTAATTGGTGACCACACACAATGTTGAGGAATTAGCTCATTAAGCTGCAGGCTGTCCCACTAAGTGTACAGTCTTTACGATTTCGGGGAAGTTTCTCGCTATACAAGTGTCCAGGTAAGTAACTCGTGATGATGGAATAGCACCATTTTGCTCCACACAATCAGTTAATGGATCAAAGGGCTGCTAATATCCTTAGAAGAATCAAAAAGGACATGTTATGCCTCCTGATCAGAGAGCACACACCCCTTTTGAGGTGATCTTGCCAACAGGTGAAACATGAACCTGGTAAGTCTCTATATCTCCCAGGACCATCACAGTGGCCACTAGACCCATGTGGCTACTGGATATTTAGAATGTGGCTGGCAGGACTGAGGAACTGGATTTTAATTCTACTTAATTGGAATTCATTTAAATGTAAATTTTAAAACAGAGTATGTAAAAATTTTCCTATTCAATACAATTTTAATACTTTAGAATTACTGTTCTTTTAATATGCAGCAATAGATACTCAAGTGTCTTATGTATAAGATTGTTTCTGAATTATGGTGTACTTCTTGGTTTTCAGTGTAGCTACTAGAAAAAGTTTAAATACATATGTGGCGTGTACCTTCTTTCTATTAGGACAATGCTGCTCTGGATGTATACCCAGGGCCTAAACTCACGCTGTGGGCTACTAGAGAAAAACACGGCTGTAATTTCAGTAAATAAATTGCAAACATAGGAGAGCAAGAGATCAAGGAACACAGCGGGAACAGGAGCAGCAAGAGAGAGAGAAGGAAAGAAGGAGGGAGGGAGGGAGGACCTCAGGAGAAACGTATATGCAGGGACTTAACACATATCTTACTGATTACACTTTGTGGATTTGTTTTTGGAACCCCCAAAAAGAAACTAACTTAAAAACAACCATGGGAGCTTTGAACACTGTCTATTTTATGATATTCAAAAGTTTGAGTCCATTTACCAACAGCAGTAATACTACGATACAAATTTCAGAAAGAGTCCTCACGGAGGGGAACACACTGGTGTAATTCCAGATGAAGTGTGAGGTCTGACATTTACTTCAATAATACAGGAAAAGGTAAGTAGGTGGGATTGTAGTGAAACAAGTTCCACCAGTACTTGATAATTGTGGAAGATGGCTTACAAAGATGGGGATGCTCTGTTCTTCTAATTCTTTATGTCGTATTTTTCTGTTATTCTGCTGTTGTTGTTTGATGTCCTGTCAATTTTTGTGTCATATTGAAATTCTGCATTTGAAATTGAATGATGAGAGATAACAAGTCCACCACGATGATGGGAGCTGAATGCCTCAACACCGATTTCAGAGGGCTAGGGATTAAGCTAGAGTCAACAACACCATGCAGAACGCTTCCCGTGAAGAACCAGGGGCCACACAACACTGGACTCCTGGTGGTTTGTATTTAGCCAGGGCTTGGGGCTACACAGCAGTAGAGGGAGCAGCCAAGACAGTACACACAGAGGGGAGGACAGCAGGGAGGGAATCCTAAGGAGGGAACGCAGGAAAAATTACCTACAAATGAGCATGGGGACAAACTCACAGCATGCCTGAGACCTGGTGGACTACAGCTCTGACGACTGGGGAGTTGCCAGGAAGGGGTTGGGCAGTGCAGAGGACCAGAGGGTGACAGTCTTCAGGAGGCACAATTGTGGGGGCCACGGTGAGACCTGGATGAAGGTAATGTCCTTTGCATGCTTGTAGTGAAGAGAAAGAATGAAGCAACCAGTAGAAATTCAAGGTCCAACTGGAAGAAAATAGAATCTCAGAACCAGGAGACACACCATGCCTTTCCTCAAAAGCTTACATCTGCTACAGTAATTGCACAAGACAAAGAGATCTAGACAAAACAAACTGACTAAGCTGCTTAAAGATTCATCAGATCCCACCTACAACTGCTGTGTCTCACACAGGTCAATCCTACTCTGGCGGAAAGGAAAATCACAGAGCAGACATTTCTTCTAAGGTGACATTAGAGAAAAACAAAAATAGAGTTAGAGATTTCAGCTCATGAAAAGACTTCCCTCAAAATCAATCAAAAACTTAGAAAAAATATAAAACAGGATCTATTTCGGAAATAAGTATTCTAAACAGAACCTATTTGAGATCCAGATACACACACACACACACACACACACACACACACACACTCAGACTCACACAGACAAGAAAGGGAACCCAGAACACAAACTAGACACGATAAGGAAACGAGAATTGGCAGTAATTAGGGAAAAACTGAAGTAAAGAAAAATCTCTGAAAAACAGGCTCAATGAAAATGTATAAAGAATCTTACATGCCTTCAATCATAGGGCACATTGAATTCAAAAATGAAAGCTTTGAACAGAAAGGAAATGGATCAAAGATACTGGGAAGGGGTCAGAGAGAAAGTCATAGATATCTGGGAGAAATAGACTGGCATGTTCAACTTTAACACCCATCCTATTAGGGCTGAAAGATTTGTTTTTTAAAGAAAAAAATTCCTGTGAAGCTCCAGACCTCCCTTGGCAACAAGTGGGACAAAATCAGATTACATTCCACGTCTCAACACAACCTACCGAGGAGGACAATGTTTTCTAAAAACTCAACGCAAGTCATTGTGGTCACGTTCTTCATATTCAGCCAAGCTGTCCATGTATCAAAGCAAGAGAAAATGAGTAGATAACACGCGAAAGTTAAGGAGCCCACATTTACACCATTAGAAATCCTGAAGGATGAACGCTACATGTCAAGAAGTGACCGAGGAAAGTCTGACTTTTGAACACCTGGTCACCACTGAATAGATATAATTATAGATTTAAGCTGGTGTCTCATGGGCAATGCTTTCGGGGCAGCCTGGTTGGGGCCTGGGACCTCTGCGACGAGGCCACTGACGCTCCTGGGGTGGGGCAGCCTCCTGTGCAGGTAGGGATCCCCAAAGTCCCCCATGGGCTCCTCCTCCAGATCTTGTCCCTACCCTACTTTTTTCTGAAGTTAACACAAAATGGGGAGGTGGTGGGGACAAGGTAGGAAACAATGGTATGTAAAGGGTGTACATTGGACTAGGTTGAAATAGTGTTAGAAAATTATCAGAAGTGGCAGGTAAAGACAAAAGGAAACAGAAAAGTGGAATAATGTCCTTCATGGTCACACTGGTAAAAAGCTGAAGTTGAGAGATATCATTCAAAATTTCGACTTCACATTGAAACTATGTGACGACATACTAAGGGACTGAGATGACAAATATTTTAGTCCAGTGCTACACACTAGCTATTTAGCCCTTCCTACATACTAGAAAAACTACACACACACACACACACACACACAGAAATAACAGAGAGAAAACAAACACTGAATGCAATCTACTACAATTGGTACATATAGCTTAAAAGCTGTGGGAGAGTTTAAGATATGAAAATGAAGAGGAGAAACAGGACTGTTTCTATCAATATATATCCATACCTACTAAATCAGGCAGGAGAATCATAGATTATAACACTGAATTGAAAAATACACAACTTCACAGTAAAACTCCAAAGAACTTTTAATGAAACGGAAGGGGTGGGGATTGTCTTTTCCACAGCACAATGCAAGCAGTACAAATAAACTGACTGATTTGGAAAAGTTCCGCTGTACAAACACAAATATGGTCATTGACACACATCAGGGATCGATCAGGGACGGTAAAATTGTTAGACAATGAGAATCATAGAATAAAATATTTATACACTCTCGAAGAGCTACTCGTCAAATGACTGATTCTAGACAGAAAAACGTGTGTTCCAATGAATGGATCTCACTGGCTCCTCCCTCTATAGCCAAATGTTCAATGCTTAGATGACAAGAGTGGTGACAGGCAAAGTGGACATTCTTCAACTCCAGAGGGGCTGTGCTAGGAAGCACACAGTGTGCACTATGTGGTGCCCTTGGCAGAAGGCTAGGCCCGAGTTTAATCATGAGGAAGGGTCAGACAACTGCAGAATGTAGACTTCTGAGCCAGACAACTGACCTGTCCTCTGCAAACAAGTCAATGTCACCACCATTAAAGACAAACACAGTAAGGTGAGGAGAGGTTTTGGGCTCAAAAGAACTAAAGAAATATAGTAGCACAATCTCTTTAGTTCTTTGGAACCCAAAATAACTCTTCTCCTTTCTGTCATCCCGTTTGTGGAGGCATTGGCAGTTTGAAAAAGACAGGCCAGTTGTCCTGTTCAATGGTCTAGATTCTACAGTTGTCTGATAACTTCCTTGTGATGAAACTCGAGCGAAACCTGTTCAGCACGGACACTGCATGTTCAAAGCCGGCTGCACCGAGCACAGCCCATCTAGTGGCAGAGAATGTCCAGGCTGACATGTTGCCTTCTTCCACCTGCTCCAGATGCCAGTGTGAACAGGATGGCAATTGAGAGGAGTGAGCATTACGGTCTCTCAAAGCTGAGTATCCATCAAAGCGCTGGTCTCCTTTTCAATGGGTAACGTTTGGAGACTGATGCCTGGGAGTTCTCCCATCAAATCAGTGTTTTGCAATAATAATCATGGGATGGGGCTGGTGGTTGTGATGATGATTCTCAGGAAAGGATCCCTGCAGTGTTCTGTGTGGACTTTAACTTGATTTCATGCCGTAGACTTTTTGCATCTAGTAGGAAAAATAAATTTGATGATGCGGTTTCTTCCAAATTGGAATATCTGTTTAGAGTAGCTAAAATACTGGGTAGCTGTGAAAGAGAGACAGCGGAGAGATAGAGAGACAGAGGAGAGATAGAGGGACAAGGAGATAGACAGAGGGATCAAATGTGGGTCTCTGTTGGGTTCTGTTGATGGCTGCGCCTGGGGGGATGACCACATGTTTGGAAGAGGCAAGAGCAGCCCGGGATCGTCTTGATAGGAGGAGCTGAAGGTCGAGCCCGAGGCTGGCTGAAGGGAAAAGTGAGATCCACACGTTAGAAGAAATCCCTCCTGAAACAAACGTGCAGACTGTGGTGCAGAATCTAGGGTCCCCTGTCCTCGCCCCACCAGTATTTGGGGACACGCCACCTCACAGCTGCTGCAGAGTCTTAGCCAGATCCCTACCGCTGGCTCCTCAGCAACCAACTGACTTTTGATTGCCCTTGACCTGGACCGAAGTGCTGCCTTTCTCACATGTCCCAGGGAGGGATGGGCTGAGCATCCCTCATATACATTCAGAAACAGACTGCTGTCTGGAGCAAGGATCCTTGGGACACTCCTCTACTGCTTCCTGATATTCCAACAGATCCATAGTCCTTCCAATCCCTAGATGCATGTCAGCAGAGCTTTTCAAAATACTAATGCCCAAACCTCACCTCAGAACGTTAGAATCAGAATATCAAGGGGTTGGGTCAAGTCATTCATGTTAGATAGATCCAAGCTCACCCAGCGTTTCTTCATGATAGCAAGATTTAGAGCTACCCACTAGACCTACACTACTTCACACCTTTCTTTTTCCTTTGCTTCATTACTTCCACCATGAACTCCTGTCCCGCTGGCCATGAAGATTTTTTTCACCTTCCTTCTCACAGTCTAGAGGAAATCACTTGCCTTCTCAAACGGCCTTGCCTGAGGCAATGATCTTCTTGTATCCTGTATACCTGAGTCTTCATAAATCTGCCCCAGGTTAATTCACTGGGATGCTCTCCTAGATTCCCTGGCGTCAGATGCCAACTCAGCCCATGTTTTTTCCTGGACTTTCACTGAACATGTAGTAAGAGTCATGTGAGTAAAAGGAAGAGAGGTCTGAAACCCTAGGCACGTCACGCTCTTTGTGTTCTGTCAACACATGGCCTGTGCCTCTGCTTTTGGCCAATGTCCCTTTAGGGTGCCATCTACTATCCTCCACCTAATGCCAGCTCCAGTGAGGCACTGGGAGCCCCATGGACATTAGCACAGAGCTGACCACCAGTGTCTGGCGAGAAACCTGACTCCAGGCCAGTCCAGCGCTCCTACCTATGACAGAGATTTATATTTGGTTCTTGTAACCAGGGTTCTCATTCCTCAGTTGTACCAATTTTATTCACGTGGAGACGTCGAGGAGTGAAGGTTGTCCTAGCTGTGTTCTGCAAAACCCAACCCATGTGCATGTGATTCATGACGTCAGTGATTCTGGAAGAGGCAGTGGAGTGGAGGGAGGAAGGGTAGGGAAAGGAAGGCAATGACACCAAGGGAGTGTGTGATTTCAGGCAAAGAACCCCGTGTTCAGGGCCCTAAATGATGCTCTTCTGATGAGGAGGACCGCGGGGCCGGGCTTCCCAGTAGCTACGAGTAGAGGTGAGAAGAAATACCAGGGCAGCAGCAGCAGCAGCAAGAACACAGCAGAATTCACATTACAAACAGAAAGTGGGGATGGAAGGGCCTGGCAGGGTGGCAGCTCCCACAGAAAAACAAGGAAAGACCAGACGCAGGTAGGATCAACTCTTCAGTGAAGGAACAAGGAAGAGAAAAGAGAGTGGAGTCTGAGCTGTAATCTTAGATGAGGAGCAACAGGGAAGACGTACATGGAAGGGCCTAGATGTGATTACCTCTGTCCCCTAAGCTTGAAGGCCAGGGAATCTGCATGCAATTCTCCACTTGCTGCGCAGCACTTTTCTTCGCAGAATCTTCTGTT